GGCTTCCCAGAGCGCGAGCCCCGCGCCCGCCGCTGCCTTCGCCTCCGCCTCCGCCTCCGCCGGTGCCTCTGCGCGGCTCTCGGCTGGCCTTCCGCCCGGGATGGCGCTGCTCTCCGCGGGGCTCCCGACGCCCAACTTGACGCGCGTCAAGATCCGCCCGCACGGCTGCGGCAACGGGGCGCTGCTCGACCGCTTCGGGGTCTTGGTCCAGGCGCTGCTGGCCCTAGTCGCCTTCAGCACGCTCATGCGTGAGTGGCCCCCCGCCCGCTTTGGCTCGCCTCTTCCTCGCTTTCTTTTCCTTCGCTTCCCTTTCTCTCTTCCCCTTTGCTCCTTTCTCCTTCCTTTCCTTTCTCCTTCTTTCCCTCCTGCTTTCTCGCTTCTTCCCTTGCCTCCCCTTTCTCCTCCGTTTCTCCTTTCCTTTTCTCTCTTTCTCTTTGCTCCTTTCTCCTGCCTTTGTCTCTCTCAACTTCCTTCCTTTCTCTCTTTCCCGCTGCTCAGCCTACCTTCCAGGCTCAATAATTGTCTTGCGTGGGATAGCCCAGGATCTTTAGCTGTGCAGTGGCAACGCTTTCTAAGACAGAGAACCTGAGCAGGGTGAGACAAAAAAGTCACTTTTCGTGAAGAAATTGTGGCCAGTCCGTGTGCTTCAGGTGGAACTTGATCGGCACAACACCCGTTTCTTTCAAAAGCCTCTCTAGTGCAGAGAAACCTTCCTTCCTTCCTTCCTTCCTTCCTTCCTTCCTTCCTTCCTTCCTTCCTTCCTGCCTTCCTTCCTTCCTTCCTTCCTGCCTTCCTTCCTTCCTTCCTTCCTGCCTTCCTTCCTTCCTTCCTTCCTGCCTTCCTTCCTTCCTTCCTTCCTGCCTTCCTTCCTTCCTTCCTTCCTGCCTTCCTTCCTTCCTTCCTTCCTGCCTTCCTTCCTTCCTTCCTTCCTTCCTTCCTTCCTTCCTTCCTTCCTTCTCTCTCCCCCCCCCCTTTCTTGCTCAGTCCTCATTGCTACTCTCCTTGGTCTGCCAAAAATCAGTCTTCTTCAAGGAAACCTTAGTCTCATCCTGTGCCTTTAACTGATGGTTGATTTGCATCTAGGCATTATTCTGTGATTATGTTGCCAGACAGAAGAGATGTCAGAAGAGTCAGTAAGAAAAGTTGGCAAACTGATATTTCATTGGAGCTTGGAAACTTGCCTAAATGTTATATTACTACTTTTTCCACCTGTTTGGTCAGTTTTTCTGAAGAGATGCTGGGGAAGGAACCACAATCTGAAATTCTTACATTGCATTCGAGCCTGATTGAGTTTGGGCATAGAGTCGTCTGGTTTCGAGGGGGGCCTTTCAACAGGCTTTTAACTGCCCAGTTTTAAGCAAGAAGTGTACAAACAATCAAAATAATGTCAGATTTTGAAGCTCTTGCAAACCTGAATATTGTCCCCCAATCTTCCAAGTGATACCGCTAACCATAGTAGAAATATTTGAAGTTTGGGTGATTCCTGTTTCTGCAATCAAGAGATCTAGAAGCTTGACTGTTTAAACTGAATCTTGACTTTCCAGGTTTTATCGAATGTCTTAAGAGATCAAATGCAGTTTCTCTGTGGTGAGGTGGTCCAGGGTACCTGTTTCTGAGGCATCCATGGTGAAAACTAATGTGGCCACAAACTTTTTCCTCCCGTCGCGTCAACCCCGTGTTCCCTCGCTAGGCCTCCCTGGCAAATTTGGCATCTCAGCTTGGCAACGTGTTGCTGTGCTTGGTTTTCTCTGTTGGGCAGCTGTTCTGGCGTCTTTAGCCATTGTTTTACACGCTTGGCCATCTGGAGAAGCTGAGCTAAGAATGGAAGTGCGAGATAAGGAGGGGGAAATGTTTCTCTGGTTTGGGTTGAAGACAGCTCCGCAGCCTGCTTTGTGCCTGGGAACACTTTAGCCCCCTCCGTCCCTTGGGGGGCAGACAAAGTAAAGTTCAGAGCCTCCCTTTTTGATGTTTAAGAAGCTAAGAAAAGCTCTGCCTGGACCACAAAGATGTATCTGGTCCAGCAGCTTGTTCCCACAGTGACTAACCAAAGAGGTCGAGCAAGTCTATGAGCTGGACACAAGAATAGCATCCTTCTGTTCACATTTCCAGCAGTTGCCAATGAGCTGGCAATTTTTTTTTTTTTTTTTAGTTTAATTTTCAAATCCGCTTAAACCTAGGACCGTCTCCCATGCTGTTATGAAATGCATTTATAAGGACAAACCCAGAAGTTACAAAAGCATGTGCAAACTTCTGAGTTCTGCTTGCAAAACTCTTGGTTGGGTTTTTCAATTCTAAATCAAGATGGGGATTTTAGGCTGATTGCATAATCCAGGTTAGAGGGCATTGAAGCTGGATTAGATTCATGGACTTTTCCTGTCTGGTTTATGGCTGTTATTTGAATAGCATTTAGCCCAGGGAAGAGTTCTAGGGAACGTGAAGGCTTGTCTTTTCTTCTACGTCATTTTCATCCCTCCTAGTAAAAGTATTGCAAACTATGAATGTGAATGCCTTCTGACTTGTAGCTAGTCATAACTACTTTAAAACCCTGGCCTTACAAAAAAAATATATTTTTATTTATTTTGATTTTTATGCCACTCCAATTGTGCAACTCTTGGCGGTCGGAGGAGAAACAACAGAACTAAAACACAAGCCAAATGGCAAAAACGAGACCGAAGTAGCAGAGAAAAATAATGCGGACAAGAAGAGGTGCGGGTGATGTTCCTGAAAAGCTCTTTAAAAAAGCTGCATTTTTGCTAAGCTCCTAAAAGCTACCAGGCACGGTAAAGCACATTGCAGTAATCTATGCCACTGTTTCTCATCCTCAGCAATGTTAAGATGTGGGGACTCCAACTCCCAGAATTTTGCTGGGGAATACTGCCCTAGAAGAACAACCCTGTGAGGTAGGCTTGGCTGACAGAGAAGGGCCTGTGCAGTTTCCTTGGCAAGATTTTCAGAAGTGGTTTGCCCTGGCCTCCTCCTCCTTCCCAGGGCTGAGAGAGAGGGACTGGCCCAAAGTCACCCAGCTGGCTTCGTGCCTAAGGCGGAACTCGAACTCACCATTTCCTGGTTTCAAACCCAGTGCTTTTAACCTCTACACCAGGTTGCAACATACTTCTACAACATACAGCACATGTCTACAACATACAACTGGTGGGCCAAATGCAGCCCACCAAGCAGCCTTGGGTAGCCCATTAGCATTTTTTGAAAACTTCACAAATCCGCTGGGGCCAAATGTCACTGCTGCCTAGCTTTTCGCATTCACCTCCACCCAAAGGATGTGCTGCCGAGCGCCTCCGATGCCTTGTGGATGCTGTCAGCTCTGCGAAACAGCTGAGCATCGTGCCCTCTTTTCCTTTGTGGCCCACCATTATTTTTAAGGTATTAATGTGGACTTCTCCTCTCTGCAAATTGCGCAGGCCTGCTGTGCATCATCAAACTGGCCCTTCCCTGAAATGGTGCTACGCCTAAACTCAGTTTCTCGTTTTTTTTGCAAATCCTTCACGGCAGCTGTCTTCAGTAGTTTCTCCCCCTAGTCTCTGATCCTTTTGAAATTGGCTGAAAACGGACAGACAGGTATACATTTGCAGTGTGCAAGGGATCTTTGGAACCTGCTATTCTTTGATGCAATGTTTCTCAACCTGAGCAACTTTAAGACAGGTGGACTTCAACTCCCAGAATTCCCTAGCCAGCCATGCTGGCTGGGGAATTCTGGGAGTT